GGGGGGGGGGGGGGGGGATCCTTTCTGTGCAAAAGATCTAAAAACAGGAATGTTTGTTCGTCGAAGCAGATAGAATAAACTGGTGTTTATTTTGTAACAGTCGAATTAGAATTTGGCTTCATTTTCTACCGGAAACCCAGGGTCACGGTGTTTGGAATTATTAGTCTATAGTTGGGGGTGTCATTCCGTGATCGAGTCCACGCAGGGGCTGTAGCAAAGTCGGGTAACGTGTGACAGCTACAGAGCGCGTGAAGCAACGGAAGGACAGCAGCAGCCGCCTAACGCAGTAGCGGCGGCAGTTTAGAAAAGGGCGGGACGGGACACGGCGCAAGCATTGGGGAAGTGACCAGCACGCGACTCTCCATATAAAGGTGTGTACTCGTGTCCAACATCCATCGTGTCGGCCGTGTTCCTATTCGCGTCCCGCTACTCCTGTGACCTCACCGCTGCGTGCATTTAGCACGAGGGGGGAGGGTGCAGTAAGATAAGCGGCGGCAAGCCACCGCAGTCTCGCTCGCCGCGCCGCTCAGATAGGTCCCTTCCCAAACATGGGATGCGGTTCATCCCAACCGAGACGTACTCTCGCTGAAGAAAAAAAATGCGGTTCGTCCCAACCGAGACGTACTCTCTCTGAAGAAAAAATTCAACGGCAAAAAGAAAGAGCGGGGCCTGTTGTATGGTCGCACGCTGACTTGTCGCGGTTGATAGCAGCCATTGTACTGCACGGGGTGGAGGAACCCTGCGGCATCGGACATAACCAATCGACCCGCGGCAGTAGGGCATGATGCTGTCACGAGTATGCACATGAGGCAGGTGCCTTGTTTTCTGTTTCCCCCGGCTTACTAGGGACTACTTGCCGGTACAATCTTGTCTGTGCCGCGCACAGAGGGGCATATAGCTGAAGGAATCGACGATAATATGCCCACTCACGTAAGCAATCGTCTCCACGGATGGTATTGACAAGTCCCCACTGATGGTATCGACAAGTCCCATGGCATACAAAGCGGCCGCATACGTAATCGGAAAGTGCATTCAACAGCATTCACGGGAACGGATAAAAGCAAAAACACATGCATGCGAGAGATAGACTCAAAGAAAAAGACTGAAAAACAAAGAAGACGAGAAAAAAAAACGAGACAGCGAACTACGTGCTGTATGCATAAGGAAAAAGAAGATGAGAAAAAATTAGGGGGGGGAGGTGAAAGTGACACGCTAGGTTCGAACTCGCGAGGAATGTCAGGTAGCGGTCCATGTGAGTGCATCACGGTCTCGAGGGGCATCACGTCAAATTCATTGCCGCTGTGACACAAACCTTCTATAAGAATACGTCACGTCCATCGACGATTAAGCGACCAAAAACGCCCGGACAGCAATTGATGCATGCCAAAAACTCGTCAACCTGCCGTAGGATTGTCTATGCGGAAGTGATCTCAATGAAAAAAAAAAAACAAGGACACGCACCAGCACGGGACGCGCCAATAGTGGAAGCACTCGTCCGTGCTGTTGGCGAGTGGAAGTTAACCGATCTCAACGCAACGAAACACGAAGTCATACATGTATCAGCACGGGATGCGCCAATGAGTGGAAGCACCCGCGCTCTTGGCGAGTAGAGTTAACCGAATTCAACGCAGCGGTAGAAAATACCACAAATCATGCATCAGTACGGGACGCGCCAATGAGTGGAAGCACCCGTGCTGCATATGTGATGTCAGCCTCAGCACGGGACGCGCCAATGAGTGGAAGCACTCGTGCTGTTGGTGAGTAGAGTTAACCGATCTCAAAAAGAAAGAACAAAACGCCGTACATGTATCAGCACGGGACGCGCCAATGAGTGGAAGCACCCGCGCTGTTGGCGAGTAGAGTTAACCGAATTCAACGCAGCGGTAGGAAATACCACAAATCATGCATCAGTACGGGACGCGCCAATGAGTGGAAGCACCCGTGCTGCATATGTGTTGTCAGCCTCAGCGCGGGACGCGCCAACGAGTGGAAGCACTCGTGCTGTTGGCGAGTAGAGTTAACCGATCTCAAAAAAAGAAAGAACAAAACGCCGTACACGTATCAGCACGGGACGCGCCAATGAGTGGAAGCACCCGCGCTGTTGGCGAGTAGAGTTAACCGAATTCAACGCAGCGGTAGGAAATACCACAAATCATGCATCAGTACGGGACGCGCCAATGAGTGGAAGCACCCGTGCTGCATATGTGTTGTCAGCCTCAGCACGGGACGCGCCAACGAGTGGAAGCACTCGTGCTGTTGGCGAGTAGAGTTAACCGATCTCAAAAAGAAAGAACAAAACGCCGTACACGTATCAGCACGGGACGCGCCAATGAGTGGACGCACCCGTGCTGTTGGCGAGTAGAGTTAACCGAATTCAACGCATCGAAAACGAAGTCGTACACGTATCAGTACGGGACGCGCCAATGAGTGGAAGCACCCGTGCTGCATATGTGTTGTCAGCCTCAGCACGGGACGCGCCAACGAGTGGAAGCACTCGTGCTGTTGGCGAGTAGAGTTAACCGATCTCAAAAAGAAAGAACAAAACGCCGTACACGTATCAGCACGGGACGCGCCAATGAGTGGACGCACCCGTGCTGTTGGCGAGTAGAGTTAACCGAATTCAACGCATCGAAAACGAAGTCGTACACGTATCAGTACGGGACGCGCCAATGAGTGGAAGCACCCGTGCTGCATATGTGTTGTCAGCCTCAGCACGGGACGCGCCAACGAGTGGAAGCACTCGTGCTGTTGGCGAGTAGAGTTAACCGATCTCAAAAAGAAAGAACAAAAACGCCGTACACGTATCAGTACGGGACGCGCCAATGAGTGGACGCACCCGTGCTGTTGGCGAGTAGAATTAACCGATCTCCACGCATCGAAAACGAAGTCATACACGTATCAGTACGGGACGCGCCAATGAGTGGAAGCACCCGTGCTCATATGTGTTGTCAGTTTCAGCAAGGGACGCGCCAATGAGTGGAAGCACCCGCGCTGCGTACAAGTATCAGTACGGGTCGCGCCAATGAGTGGAAGCACCCGTGCTGCATATGTGTTGTCAGTTTCAGCGAGGGACGCGCCAATGAGTGGAAGCCCCCGCGCTGTTGGCAAGTGGAGTTCCCCGTATCCAACGCATCGCCAAAAAAAAAAAAAAAAAAAAAAAAAAAAAAAACACACGTATCAGCACGGGACGCGCCAATGAGTGGAAGCACACGTGCCGATGGCGAACCGGGGTTCACCGAATCCAAGAAAATATATATATAAAAAAAAAAAAAAGAGAAACCATCGCTAGTGTTCCAAAGAGAGAAATATTCGGGATTGGTCGACGTCCGGTGACCGTAGCGTCAGCAGCAATAATCACTCCATTCAATCCACAGGCGTCGAGAACGAACTAACGCGAGCTCGCGATATAACAACGCGTCGTTCTGGGCCCGACGAAAACCCACGTCAGATAGTTTCGCCCGAAGATAGGATTTGTAGACCATTCTAACTGCAGATCCAGGCGCGCGATCGACTACGCCCACGATGAAGAGGAAAAGAAGTGTTCCCGCAACGCCGCCCTGACGCTCGCCCGCCGCCTGCCGCCGGTCCGCTGCTTATACGACTCCAACCGCGACCAGATGCCGACACGGGCCTCCACGCGGAGCGGCAGGGCAGCGGCTGGGCAAGCAGGGCGAGGTCGGGCGGCGACACCTTCGACACCACGCACGAGGAGGTCTACCGCGCGATCGGTGGCGAGCTCGACGGCTCGCCCCTCGACGCGCAGCCGATCACGTACTCCCGCGAGGCGTCGAGCGGTATCCTCCTCGCGAGCGCCAGGGACAGGCACCCGCGGCGACCCCCCCGCTGATGAGACTGAGCTCGCTTCTCTCCGCGGGCTGGTGGACGGCCTGAGGGAGGAGCTGCAGCGGAAGCGCGATGAGGCTGCCGGCGATCGCCAGCAGCTTCAAGCAACGATCGACGACCTGATCGCCACCCAAGCAGCAGGACCTGGCCTTCCGGGGGGGGGTGCAACTGGTGGGCACAACCGCCCCACCATCGGCCTCTCGGGCCCCCGCTACACCCAGCGCCGAGGCGGCTAAGGCTACGGCAAAGGATAGAGCGCGGATGTGGGGGGACCTCCGCCGGGTAAAAGCGTGGCTCATCCTGGGGCGGCCTCCGGCAGTTTCAAAACTGTCGCAGATGGAGTGGCAATCCTTGCTTCGCAAAGGCGTCCTGGTGACAGAGAAAGTGGCGGCATCGCTCGACACGCTCGTGGTTAGTGCTTCGCCTTCAACTCGTCGTCCGGTTGCCATGATCGTAACTGCCCACACATCCACACCCAGAACCCTTCCCACGCTAGGCGCGGAGCGTCCGAAACTCCGGCAACCGGCGCGCGCGGCGTTGGCCACGGCAACGGGGGAGGGCGCGGAGGAGAGGCGCGCGCCGCTGGCGAGGGCGGCGCGAGACCCAAGGCCGCTGGCTTCTTCACCCACGGGAAAGACAAATAGGGGTGCGGGCTCTCCCGCGTAGCGGGGGGGGCTACCTCGGATGGCAGCGCACCTGCGGCTAAATCGAACGGCAGCACGCCGGTCTACACGAGGTTGGCTCCAGGGCTATCAGCAGGTTCAGGACCTGGGACAGGCAGGACGGGACTTTGTTACCGACGTCTTGGCATGCAGCTCGTCGAGCACTCAGTTGCGTCTTCGTCTAGAAGGACTTACACGTCAGGCTTCAACTCTTGGTGCACGTTTCACAGGCTGACGGAGAAGCCCCAAGTTCCTAGGGCAACGTGCCGGGGACCTTCATGTGTGGGAGTTGATAGACTTCGTAGCCTGGTGTTTCGAGTCTGAGGGTAATCTAGCGAGTACAATATCCGGAAAACTCACGGCTGTACAACATTTTCATAGGCTGGAAGCTTCTGTCGAGCTAGACTTGTCGTCTCCGATGTTGAAATGTGCGCTAAGGGGGATTGCGAGGAACCACGTGGCTGTGGGGACGGTACGCCGTGTGCGCCTGCCTGTGTCTTGGCGTATGCTGCTGGACGGGGAAAGCGCAAGCCAGAACTGGGGGGAAGGGGGCAGAGTGATGTGGCTGTGTCTGTGCTTGTCCTATCTCTTTATCACACGGTCTGATGAGGTGTTCGCGAATGATGCGGGCAGGGTGCATGAGGCACACTGTCTTACGAGGGCGGACGTAGCATTGTTTGCTGGCGAGACGCAATTAGTCTTTAGTCACTATCGTAGAGCAGACCGTGTCGAAATGAGGTTTAGAGGGCACAAGGCCGATCAAGAGCAGAAAGGAAACATACGGGTTCGTACGCGAGACGAAGTCACCGGACCGCAGTCAGGTGTGAGAGCACGCGGCGGCGCGGTGGCTCTTGTGGTGGAGCTGTTATCGTGTCATGCGACGTTCCCTGACTCCGCACCGTTGGCTTCGTACCGTAGTGGAAGAGCAGTGAGAGTAGTGAGGTATACTGCTGCCCTCCGTGCACTCAGAGAAGTGGTAGCGAAGTCGGGGCGTAACCCCCAGGAGTACGCGTTGCACTCGTTGCGAATTGGAGGCGCGACGGCTCTTGCATCGGGCGGAGACATCGCAGAACGAGTGATTCAGAGAGAAGGGAAGTGGAGGTCGGATGCATACAAGCCGTACGCGTGAAACAATGTAGAGGATTCGCGGCGAGTGTCACGGAAACTTACAGACGGCAGTAGGATCGTACCGAGACAGCCGGGGGAGGGGACCGTCTGGGGGAACGGATAGTTGACTTATTCGGTAGTCGTCCAGAAACTGACCTCGATGTGGGTGTTGTAGAATGGGGTGTACCATTTGAGGACTTGGTCAGTTTTGGGACTCCTGCGTTTGCAGTCGTAGTCCCCCGGCTAGTATTTGTGGGGAGAGAGATGGATTTGTAAGAGTTGATGCCGGCCTTTGCAGCTAACGCGGCCGGAGAGACGATGAGCGTTTCGTGCGTCTCTCTCCCCAACACGTAGCCTAGAAACCGAAGAAATAATGAAGCAATTCGAAAGAAAACAAAATAAAAGGAATGTTTGTTCGTCGAAGCAGATAGAATAAACTGGTGTTTTATTTTGTAACAGTCGAATTAGAATTTGGCTTCATTTTCTACCGGAAACCCAGGGTCACGGTGTTTGGAATTATTAGTCTATAGTTGGGGGTGTCATTCCGTGATCGAGTCCACGCAGGGGCTGTAGCAAAGTCGGGTAACGTGTGACAGCTACAGAGCGCGTGAAGCAACGGAAGGACAGCAGCAGCCGCCTAACGCAGTAGCGGCGGCAGTTTAGAAAATCCCGCCCTCCCATCCCTTTTTCTTTCGAAGGTGGGGGCATAAGTTCGGGAATATTCGGTATCTAGTCAGGTGTTGTAGAATGGTGTGTACCATTTGAGGACTTAGTCAGTTTTGGGACTCCTGCGTTTGCAGTCGTAGTCCCCCGGCTAGTATTTGTGGGGAGAGAGATGGATTTGTAAGAGTTGATGCCGGCCTTTGCAGCTAACGCGGCCGGAGAGACGATGAGCGTTTCGTGCGTCTCTCTCCCCAACACGTAGCCTAGAAACCGAAGAAATAATGAAGCAATTCGAAAGAAAACAAAATAAACGTTTTTTTCTCGCGAAAAGTACTAAAAAGGGGGTGGGTATACCCGGGCTAAGGGGTAAAGATTCCGTGCAGTAACATCGTGGACACGATCTAGCGCGGTTCCCTGTTTAGCGGGATGCCCTCAAAAGTGTTTCCAAAACCCCGTGGCACGACTGCACGCCGGTAGTCACACATAGCTGCCAATCAATCCAATTAGCGGCGATGCCCTCTACAGAGGGTGTAATAACGTTTTGACACCATGGACCGCTGAACCGGGACCACGATTGAAATCCAAACGGAGGCTACGGCAAGCTAAGGCTAAGGTCCGTGGAGCACGGGACGAGGGCGACAAAAAGATGGCAGTATGATAAAACGATCTGTTTGAAATGCACCCCCAGCCGCCGGTCTGTTTCGCCTCTCCCAGCGCCGTGCAGCAACGGAATGGGAAAACACAATCAAACACCATCTGACGGACCGGCTGCCTGACGCCGGCTACAGCAGCACTCAATCAACCGAAACGGAGGGTCTTTCTCGGAGAAGGTTCTCCCGTCTCGCGCGACTCGACATCATCGACCAAAACACTGCCGCCGCCGAAGCATCGAAGGAAACGGAGGCGGGAGCTTTACACAAGTACGCGCTACGGGAGGGGGAGCATCCCGAATTACGGTGCATTGAAATCAAGTTAACTCGTTGGGTAAAATAGGTACTCGCAGATACCGCCGTATGGATATTGCTGTGAACGGGCCCGTGAATGATGCAGCAAAGTGGCTGGAGAATGTGTTTTTTGTTGAAAATGTCCTCAACATCAACAGAGAAGTGCACCGTGCACGTCTTCCCGTACCCCTACTATGCAGGAAAACGTTGATCAGGGTACTGTGGTACATGAGCTCCATCATCGAACGAATGACGGGAGTCTCGAAGGAAAAACACCCATGAGTGAGTTTTTTTGTCGGAAGGTCACAAGCACCTCCGATCTATTGTGTCGATCCCGTCAAGTCATTTGCAGTGTCTGCCGAGATGTTCTGGCCTGTCGATTCTGGCATGGTTGTTCAATGACACCCAGGAGTTTATCCGGGGGAGACAACAAACTTTCCCGATTCATTGTAGGAGGAGGGCTTGAAACCGTGCCAGACAAACCAAGTCATACTGTATTGTTCCCCAACCGCTGTAGTATAGACTGAGGGCTTGAAACCAAACCACGGACGAAACCGAGTCATACTACTCCTCCTGCTGTAAGCACACATAGGGCTTGAAACCAAGCCAGGCAAACAACCAGGTCACCCTGTAGTAGACGAAGGGCTTGAAAAAAATCCAGATGAACAAGCCTAAGCGTAGTTGCACTACTAAAATAGTACTTACGCTGCCGTAGGCCGAGGGCTTGAAGCCAAGCCAGCCGGCGGAGTGAACGCTGTTGTACTTGGGGACGGTGGTCAGCAACACCTCCTCCGAGGCGCGAGTGGCGGCCGCGTCCCCCGGGACGTACGTGAACCTGGCCAGCCGGTTGCGTTGGTTCTCCTGCAGAGGAAGGAGCGTGCGACCGAGAACAACACACTTTTTTAAGAAACGACTTTGGCCATAGTCGCGAACCTTGGCGAGCCGGTTGAGAAATACTACACCTTCACGATACGATTTTGGCGATAAACGTGACTTTTGTTGAGCCGGTTGCGTCGCGTCTCCTGTAGCGCACGGAGGGTACGCGATAAAGTTAAGAAACAAGCCAAGGCAGGTTCGGAATTTGGCGATACAGGTAAACTTGGCGAGCCGGTTGTAGCATATACCCTGAGAACTCTCCTATGAGTACAAACAAACCGACAGCAGAGGCGGCAGCGACGATGACAACCAGCCGAATGCGACCATACCGAACGGATAAATAACAAAACACCAGCACCGCCGGCGGGCCGGCCGCCGGCCTATGCAAGACTTACGCCGTCGTCAAGCAGGACCGTGTAGCTGACATAGAAGTACTGCGGGTAGGAGTTGTCGCCGAACATTGGCCCGAATGCCACGTCCAGAAGGCCCTGTCCAGGCACACACGCAAACCCCAAAAAACAAAAGAGTTGGGCGCGGCAGCACTCTGCATGTATGCCCACAAAGCGCTCACAGCGGCATGGCGTTTCGTTAGCAAGGGAACGGGAGAGGTTGGGTGGTAGCACTCCGCAGGCCAAGAGCGCAACAATTATCGTTGGCATAGCTTTTTCTAGAGGAAATACAGAAGGGACGGTACTCCGTAAATTCCGCAACACCAACAAATTCCTCGGCAGAAAACCTCAAGCTCGACAACAAGACCAATCACCCGACATTCTTCGCAACCTCGAACGCCCCCCCCCCCCCCCCCCCC